TTTTAAAACAAACGCCCATTTTTTTGGCCACGAGGGAAAAAAAATTTTTTTTTTTTTTTTTTTTTTTTGATCAAGGTTTTTGTTTATTTTATTCGTTCAAAATGTTTTGAATCCTAGATGGCGCTGATTTCCTTTTTGAAATTTTGTAAAAAAAAAAAATTCGATTCGATTCGATTCTGTGCAATAGAATTTTTCAGAATATTTTTTTTTTGGTTTTGGTTTTTTGGTTTTTAATCAATTATATTTAAAAATTTTACTTATTTCATCGATTGTTCGACCTTTTGTTTCGGGTAAAAAATAACCAAATATTATAATAATAATATTGATAACGGTAAATAACCAATATGTACCATATTCTTTTAAAATATGAAAAAATGATTTTGTCGATACAATCATAATAAATGTACCGATACCCGAATATACTGAACTAATTGACATTACTAATTAAACAGCTTGTGGTGGTGTAATTTCAGCAATTATTAACCAACAAATTCCACCCATACCAAGTGAATAACCACTTACAAATATTGATACACAAATAATTGGTAATAATGATGATGATTGTTGAATATCTGATATATGTTGATAATAATAAATACCTAATATACCAATACTTAATGCTTGTGCTGCACCAGAAATCATTATTAATATTCTTCGTCCAAAACGATCAATTAAAAAACTACCAATAATAACCATTACTAACATAATACCATTCGTTACTGAACTAGATTGTTTTGATGATAATGTTGAACCAGATGTACGAAAAATATCATTCATCGAATAAATAACAATACTTGCACCACAAAATTGTTGAAATGTCATCAATAACATTGAAATAAAAAATGGTTTATAAATATCTTTTCGTCGTATTGATCGTATTAGGCTACCATCCAAATGGTTAGTTTCATTTGTTTTATCCGATGTATTTTTCATTTCAATAATATCATTAATTTCTTGTTGTAAATCACTATCGTTCGAACGAAATCGTTTTAAATTTTTTTCCGCTTCTCGTATAGCTTTATCTTTATCCGAAATAAAATTAATACACCATATTGGTGATTCAGGCATAAAAAACATTATAATCATCATTAATATTATTGCTAAAAATCCTAAATGATTCCAATGAAAATTTAAAACATTGAAAATATTGACCATAAACATTCCTAAACAAGCAAAATACTATGAGAAAATAGAAATTTTAAAAAAATGATAAAATCAAAGATCAAAGATACATACACCAACAGTCATGCCAATGTAGCCACGAATTTTTGGTGTACAAATTTCTGCTAAATAACGTGGTATGGTTGCCATTGAAATACCAACACCAAAACCATTAATAATACGACCAATAATAATCATCAATGATGATTGTGCCAGACCAATCATCAACCAAGCTAATGTAAATGGTATACCCAATGCAATCAATACTTTTTTTCGGCCAAATTTATCGATTAAATATCCACTAGTAAAACCACCAAATACTGATCCAATAGTCCATATTGATGCAATTAATTGTTTTTCCATTTCATTTGGAATTACTGGTGTTTTCCAATGATCATTCGGATTAGTAATATTAAAATTTGAATCCAATTCTTCATTGGCAATCGATGTCCAACCCATTGTCATACCAAATGATAATGATAATAATTGTGCACCAAAAGTTGCCATATATATTAACCATGATGGTTTATATTTATTCGATTTATCATCATCATCCCCACTCATTTGTAATTGGTCTTCTTGAATACAATTCGATGATGAATGATTTTCATTTGATTCTATTGTAGCCATTGTTGTAATTAATATATTGAATTCACACAGTGGAAAACAAGACACAAATAGATTCTCATGTCACATTTGTATGATGATGATATGTAGGGAAAATGTAACAATTTTTTGTCTCATTTTTGTTCATTTAAAAAAAATTGATTGATTGAAACACTTTAGATAATGGCACCGGAATTTAAAAATTGCAAAATTTCTTTGCTTTATCTTATCAAAATTTTTGGCATTTTTCAATTGATTGAAATCGTTTAATTAGTTTTAACTGTTTTTTGTGCCGTTAAATTTTGATAAATTACAAATTTTTTTTTTCAAAAAACTCACAACACACCAGATGGCATGATAGAGAGGGGTATCCGTTTGGATCCAGGATTTTTGGGATGGACGTTTCAATTCGAATGTTTTTTTTGGATCAATTCAGTATCCACTACCACTGCTACTGCTACTGTAACTGTTACTATTACTAGAAGTATTAACCACTACCACAAATAATTAATGTTATTTTGGTTGGGTTTTTTTTGTCTGGTTTCGGGAAAATGGAATGAAACTCATCATTGTTCTTCGCGATTTTTATTCGCAAACAAAAAACAACAATCCAGGATTCAAAAAAACATCATATGACTTTCTGACAATTTTCATGATTAAAATGGATTAATTTTTTTTCATTAAATCATCAACAACAAGAAAAAACTATTTAAAAAATGTGGCCAGATAAATTCAATTTCCGGTATTTCAAACAAACCAAAAACAACAACAACAATAATGATGATGATGATAAACATAAAAATCGAAATCAATTACGAGATTATATTCTAATATTATTGTTTGCATCATTATTATATCTAAATAGTTTGGATGCTGATTTTGCCTACGATGATAAGTAAGTGATGATGAAATTTTTTTTTTTTTTTTTGAAAATTATTCTGATTTGTTTATTTGCCAGTCGAGCCATTCTAAACAATCAAGATATTCTATCAACAACACCTTGGTATCATTTATTTATCAATGATTTCTGGGGTACACCAATCCGATCTTCCAATAGTCATGGTAGTTATCGACCAATAACGGTTGTATCATTTCGTCTTAATCATATGATTCATGGCCATACACCATTTGGATTTCATTTAGTTAATCTTTTATTACATTTGATTGTAACATTATTGTATCAAATATTGATTGAACGATTGCTCAATGGTCGCCGACGACGAATTACATTGATTGCATCAATGTTATTTGCAAGTCATCCGATTCATGTAGAATCGGTTACAAGTATTGTTGGTCGTGCTGATGTTGGTGCAGCATTATTCTATCTATTAGCATTATATTTTTATGTAAAATTTGTTGAATCAGATGGCCAAAGACAATGTAGAAAATATCTTTTCTATACGATTATGATGGCAACATTTTCAATGTTAACTAAAGAACATGGAATTACCTGTTTATTATTATGTATTATTTATCATCTATTTATTGTTCATCATTTTTTTCCATTTAATCGTGAAAATTGGAAAAAAATATTTTATCAATCCGAATATAGTCAATTACGATATGGTTTTCTAACCATAACAATTTCATTAATCATTTTGATTATATTTCGTTTATCAATTCTACGATATCGGCCAACATTTTCATCGGCCGATAATCCAATCAGTGATAATCCATCTGTGATGGTTCGATTTTTAACATTTTATTATTTACCCGTATTTAATTTTTGGCTACTTATTTATCCACGATGGTTAAGTTTTGATTGGTCTATGGAAGCAATACCATTGATTGTATCATGGTTTGATTTTCGTAATCTTTTTACATTTATTTTTTATGCAATAGTTATTGAATTTGTTCGACGAACTTTGTACTATTATTCCCTTGTATCATCATCATCATCAAAAGCATCAGAACTTTCTACTACAAATAATCGAAAACGATCTAATCATTGTGTTCGTTGTGCTAATTTTCAGATCAAAAATCGACATCAACCAACACAAATATCATTCGAAATTGATAACAATAATAATGATATTGGTGCAATAAATTATAATCATCATCATCAGCAAAATATACATCAACCATTCATATTTGATTTGAATAATAATGATCCTCAAATGATTGATCAAAATGAACCAATCGCCGATATGAACAATAATAACAGTAGTAATAATAATAATAATAATTTCGTACGATCATTACCATTATCGAAACATTCTTCAATTATTCAATCAAACGATTCAATAAAACATGAAATTCGACGAAGAAAAATACTTGGTGAAATTGATTGTATTGTATTGTCATTGGCAATGATGATTATTCCATTTTTACCGGCAACAAATCTTTTTTTCTACATTGGATTTGTTGTTGCCGAACGTATACTTTATATTCCTAGTTTTGGATTCTGTTTATTTATTGCTGTTTGTTTGGAAAAATTTATTCAATATGTTCGTCAATATCGTCCAATCAAATATTTTCTTTACATTTGTTATCTAATATTGATTATTTCATTCTCAATTCGTACCATATTAAGAAATATTGATTGGTTAACCGAAGAGAATCTATACCGTTCGGGCATCATTATCAATCCACCAAAAGGTGAATGTTATGAAAAGTAAAAAAGAAAAAAAAATGGTTACACATGTTGATTATATATCCATAAAGTACATGATTATCATTTTGTACAAAATTCAATAATTATTTACAAATCAATACAGGCAATGATTGTAGTATAGGAAAAGAAAAATTGATAATAAATTGGTCGTCACTATAAAGAAATGACCGATTTCCAACAAAACAGTAATATTTATCATCAAATTCAAGGTTAATTCTACACATACACACACTCTAACATTTACACAGTATTTTCCAAAGAATCACAAGTTCAATATATATTATCATGTTGGGTTTTTTGTTTGTTTAGTTTGTCACTTTTTACTCGTGACAATTTGTCGTTCGTACAAATCACATCAATACTGATGATGATGATGAATCTTTTTTAAAACAATCATTATTCATAACTTTTTTGTTATTTCTCTTCCTTTATTTCCTTCTTTTTTTTTTGTTTTGTTTGAATAGCATACGGAAATCTAGCCAATATACTAAGCGAACAAGGTAGAAATGATGAAGCCGAACAAATGTATCGAAAAGCATTACAATATCGAATCAATATGGCGGATGTTCATTATAATCTGTATGTTTGCCAAAAAAGATTATTTTTTTTTTTTTTTTGATATTTTCGACATTTATCAAATGATTTTTTCCGTTTTATTTGATAACAAACAAAAAAAAAAATTTAGCGGATTATTATTGCAAAATGAAAAACGATTTAATGAAGCGATAGAAAGTTATCAACAAGCAATACGATTTCGACCAAGATTGGCAATGGCTTATCTGAATTTAGGTGTTATCTATTCACGTCTGGGTAATCAAGATCGTGCTAAAGATTTTTATGAAAAATGTTCACAATTAGATAATTATGGCCTTAAAGATATTCGTAATCATGAAATCACGAGAATTTCCGCACTTTATAACCTTGGACAAATATATTTTGATGAAGAAAATTATGATAAATCATTAGAAATTTATAGACGTGCATTATTTCAGATTCCATCCTATTATCAACCATATTCATTATTTAACAAAATAGCTGAAGTTTATAATCGATTAAATCGTACAGCTGATGCGGAAATATGGTTCCGGAAATCATTGAATATAAAACGTGATCATATACCATCATATCTAACATATGCACGGATGTTGATTAAAACAAATCGAACATATGAAGCGGAACAAATGTATCGTAAAGCAATGTTAATTTCATCCAATGATACTGCCATCTATCATCATTATGGTAAAGATTATTAAAATAATTTCATTGATTTGGGTTTTTTTTCTAATAATAATTATTTATTAGGTCAATTTAAATTCAATAATGGTCAACTTAAAGATGCTTTAGCAATCTATATGAAAGGTTTTGAATTATTTCCCGACGATTGTGATATTGTTATCAATTTGGCAAATATCTATCGTGAATTACAACAACCAAAAAAAGCGGAAATCTATTATAAATTGGCAACAAAATTACGACCAAATGATTTGATAACACATTCAAATCTAGGAGCTATATATCATTTGAATGGAAAATTTGAATTAGCTAGACAAAGTTATCAACGAGCATTAGAACTAAAATCCGATGATAATATAACAAAAATTAATTTAGAACGATTAGATCGAATTATACAAAATAGTCAGGCTGCTGCCAAATCAATATAGCCACTTTAGATTGATTATTAGTAAGATAAGATAAGTTCCAATATTCAAATTTTTTTTAAAAATAATTGATTAATTGTAAATCTTCCAAAAAAAATTATTATTTAATTATCGATGGATGTGGTGGGGATACTTGTTTTGGCACAATAAATCTCGAGTGGTTTTAAAAAAAAAAAATTATTTATGATGATTATAATTATCTTAGCCAAAAAAACCTATGACTTATTTAATCATTTCTTGATCAAGGACTCGATCATTATAATAATGTAATTCAAATAAGATTTGAATGTGTTAAAATGATAATGGTCTTTTGTTTTTTTTATTTGTGGATTTTGTTTTTTGTTTTTAATGAAACCAAAATCGAAACAAAAAAAATTTCGTTATCTTTAAAAAAAATGTTACTTTTCATTATTATTATTCAAAAACGACGTTATCGAAAAATTCGAATGAATCAATTTCAACAACCAAACATTTTCTTCAACGATTTTGCGATTTTTACAATCATCATTATTTCATTATCATCAATGTTGATTGAAATTTCAGCACATCAATTTGATCATAATGTTGACAATGATCAATCGCTAAATAGATCTGTATCGATAAATCATATGGATACAATGTATAAGATGCCAATATTGTTAGATTTGCATCTAAAATTTCCATCATCATTCGCTATATTGGTCAATTATGGTTTACATGGTCATAAAAAGAAATTATATTCATCATGGATTCATAATGATCGATGTAAATCGAATGAAATTTGGGATCCATTCAACAATCAATGTCGACGTTTATATTGTCGTGAAAAACGAAATAAATTTCAAAATGATCAATGTCATTATAATAAATATGATCAAAAACCTGTTATTGAATTTTTGGATTCATTAAGTAAATTCATCAATATTACGGTAGATTTTATTACAAATATAGAAATTGATGAAAATATAATCATCGATTTGGGTAATAATATCATCAAAGATTTTAGAGATAAATTTTCTAACCGATGGCATATGAATAATGATCATTTAGTTAATATTTCGGTTGAATATGTTGATCAACAAATTTTATCGATTAATTTTTTAATTTTGGATACAAGAAAAAATAACCACTTTTTTAATGAATTAAGTCAAAGGATTATATTTGATCAATCTGAACAATATGAATTGAATGGTATAATGATGACGGCAATAAATATTCATTCGATTGTATCGGAATTAAAAAATTTTTGTCTAAATCTATCGGATATGCCAATATGGTATTGGAATTCGGAATTTGATTTTATTACAAAAAATGATGAAACATTTCTTTTTGTAAATGGTACTGGTCGTATTTATCAAACAGGTGAATATACTGGTAGTATATTATATGTTGGTGATGTTAGAAATAATAATAATTTAAATCAAAATGAAAACAAACATGATGATTCTGTTCCATTGTTTGCAAAATTTTCAACAAATACTGTTGTATGTGAACAAACACTTATCGATTATGATTGTCCACGTATACTATTAAAACGTAATGAATATGAATTTATTAATGGTAAAGATTTATATTCAAACAATATTCATTATGAACATTATGAACTATCGGATAATTATAGTATTTATGTTTGTATAAAAAATATTACCAAATCATATGATGAATATGTACGTAAACTTGATACAATGGCCGAATCAATTTTATCAACATTATTAATGTTCATATCGATCATTATGTTAACATTATTGTTGATTACATTTCTTCGATTCAAACGAATACGACAATCAATCAATGGTTTTAATTCAATCAATTTGGCCATTTGTCTGGAAATGATGCAAATATTGTTTCTATCGAATCAATTTATGGATAATTGTCGTATTGCAGCCGTATTATTTCATTTTTTTATTTTATCAACAATTTCATGGTCAAGGTATGTAATTGATGTTATCTGTAATGTAATATTTATTTTGTTGTTTTTTTTTCTTTTGTAAATTTACCATTAATCCAAGTGTAATTGCATACGAAATGCATCGAGTATTTATTACGAAAAAACTTGTTTCCCGTACATTATCGAATCGTAGTCAGAATAAAATACGTTTACAATATGGTCTGGTTGGATATGTTTCCACATTTATCATTATCATTATAGCCAATGTTGGTGATGTATTCAATATTGAACTATTAAAAGCAAATTATGGACGATTAGAACATACTGAAGTATGTTGGATGCGTCGATCACGTTCAACTATTTATTATTTTATTATACCGGCAACATTGGCCATTATTTATAATCTATTATTATATATTCGAATTGTTTGCAATATTCGTCATGATTTAACAAGTATTTCAAGTTTACGACGAATTACTCGTATATCAACATCATCAGATACATCATCATCATCATCATCATCATCATCATTATCATCATCAAATCCATCAAATACGATGACAATATCAGTGATAAGCAGTGATTTTTATAATTACGAAAAACAAAAACAACAACAACCAAAATCATCATCATCATCGTTATTACCAAAAAGTTCAACAAATTCAAAATTTTTAACAAATCAATCATCGATCTATGTCAAGTTGGGAGTACCATTAGGTTTTACCTGGATTATTGCATTAATATTGACGATTATACCGCAAGGACAGAATCTAATACTCAATCGTATCATATCATATATATTCATTATTGCAAATACATCACAAGGAATGATATTATTTTTATCACATGGTGTATATAAAAATTTATTTAAACAAAAAAATTGAATCAAAAATAATAATAAAAAACCCAAAATTCATTCGATATCTACAAAATATTTTCATTTTTATTTAAATTTTATTTTAAATGAAATGATTTAGAAAAAAAAAGATATTCCAACGAAAATTGAATCGACGATTCAATGGAGAAAAAAAATCAAACAAAACTAAATAGTCACAAAAAATAAAGTTCATTTTTTTTCTTCGATTTTTTTGTTGTAAAAATATAACGAGAAAAAAAAATCAATGATTATCAGACTAGACTAGTTGTATCGGTTCGTAAACATGATGGTGGATTTTTTAAAAAATATACGGTCAATTCATATGTGCCCATCATGATTGCTGTATTCGGTATTTGACCTAAAAAGGTTTTTGTTTTACAATGAAAAAAAAGAAATTTATCAATCTTAAATGATGAAAATTTTCAATAATAATTACGAATTAATTGTGTTCCAAGGCCACGATAAATTCCTTTACGTATTCCTTCCTCTTTATATACTAGAATAATTGTTGGAAAAAATTTTTTATATCTATCACCTTCTTCTCGTAGACGAGTTCTTGCAACTTCTATAATATTGAAAATGAATGATCATAGTAATAATAAAAATAAAAATTTTTAATTTAAAAAAGATGTTTCATCATACCATGTGGATAGGCAAGTATTGATGCAATCGCTTTGGAAATGGCTGCCGTGCCCATAAAATAGAAAAAATTTGTCATTTGTGAACGATTTGTTTGTACGTTTGTTGAATTAATAGCGGCATTATTTAATGTTGATTCATTTTTAGAAAAATCTATTGATAATGATGATGGTGATGATGATGATGATATTTGGATTGATGAATTTGAATGAAACCATTTTGATTTAATAAATTCATATATCACAAAATATATGATAGTTTCACTGATACCAAAATAACTGGCCGTTATTCCTTTATAGAAACCAGTTATACCGTTTCGATTGTATATATTTTTGATGAAACTCCATGCCGACATTCCTCGAAGACTGTTTTGTTTTTGTTTTTAGCAACCAGGATAAAATAATTAGAATTTAATATACATATAATTATTTTCAAATTATTTACCTTTTATCTAATTGCATTCGTGTTTTAATAAACCATATTGGATTTGTTAATGTACAGGTTATAAATCCACCGCTTGCCGATGATATCATATGAACATAAGGCGTTTCCGGTGTTATTCTTTGATTACACCATGATTTTACTTGTGAATAAGTACAAAAATAAATAGCTCTAAATATTATTAGATTTAGATATTGATCAATTAATAATTTATAAATATATAAATAAATAAATAAATTACCTGGACGGTGCAACACCAATAATATTTGGTCCAAGACCTTTGAATATAGCACGTGGACCTTCAGTATTGATTATATGTTTTAAACAATTCCATATAGTCATATTACGATTTTTGCCAATCGTTACCGATGTTGTTGTTTTTGAATTAATTTTAAAAAAATCATCATCAAAATTAGAAACAGATGATTGTAGACGAGTTTTAACCACCTCTAATGGACAGGTTGCAATGGCACCAAATGTACCGCCAAGTCTATAGAAATAAAATTTTAGAAATTAAAAAAAATGAAAATATCAACAATCAATTCAAAAAAAATACCCTCCGGCGATAAGATGAACAAATGTATCATAGGACATAAATGTTTGGATGAAGAAAAAATCAAATTAAATCAAGTGGGAAAAAAATCACAAACGTAACTGTCGCAAAATTACAAAACGACGACAACAACAAAAACGCATCACACAAACAAAACGAAAATACAACAAAGGTTATCCATCAATCAAAAAAAAAAATTATTTTAAAGATATTCGAAAATAAAGAAAATATTGATATTGAATACAAAGCAATCAAAATGGTAACAGCAACAAACAACAAACAAACAAACAAAATTGTATCTTGATGAACAAAGATTATTCTGAAAAAAAAATGACAACATTCAAATATTTTTACGGCTACTGTTGTCACTTTTTTTACAATTATCTAATATCAATATTTTTCTTATTATTTTTCCGAATTTGATTGAAAAACACAAAAAATGCACCAAAAGTATCACATGCGGACCGAATATTTTGGTGATGATAGTGATGAAAAAAAAAACGAATACAATTTATCCAAATAATACGTCTATATAGACAGCGTAGGGTCGTTTTGGTTATATTTGATTTAATAATTTATTTCAAATGTGAAAAAAAACATTCGAAAAAATGTGCGCGTAATTTTTTTTTTGATAAATTTTTTGTTTTTGGTTTTCAAATAAATAATTAAATACAACGAAATCACACACGAAACAAAAAAAAATTACATTACAGATTATAATTTGATCTATAAATATGATTCACTGAAATCATTTTCCGATAATTTTGATGTTTTTGCTGTTGCTGTTGATGTTTGAAATCCAGAATCACTGGTCATATCCATATTTATATCATTTGTATTTGTCAATATTTGATGATGATTTTCCATATCTGGTTCCTGTATCCGAACAGCTTTTTTCAATATTGTTTTTACTTGTGTTTTATCTTTTTCCTCTAAACGTTTACGTTCCATTTGTTCTTTAGTTAATTGTTCAATTTTCTTTTTAACTTCTTCAATTTGTCTTTCTTTTTCAGAAATTTTTGATTTTAATTCATCATTTTCACTATTCAATCGAATAAATCTTTCTTCTTCTTCTTTTGTTGACATTGTTTCATGAAATGCATTATTCATACCTGAACCTAAATTCTGTTGATGTTGTACAATGGCAACAATTTTCGGTACAAAAATCAATGCCATCGATAATATACAACAGAATATTATTGTCAGGCCAATGAATGCAAAATGTGAATTAACTTGATTATCAATAACTAATGATACTGGTCCAGTTATTAAACATAATATCTATTTTTATTTTTTTAAAAATTAAAAAGAATAATTTACAATTATAAAATTTTGTAAAATCATAATATCCATTACACATACCACAACATTATAAATACTCATTGCAACAAGTCTTGAATCATTAATTTGTTTTAATTTGGCACTTCTTGTTTCATATGATAAAAATAGACCAAAACACAATACCAAACCTTTATAGCCATATAATAAACCATACCAAATTAAACTTGCTTCACAATGTTCTAATAATGGTTGAAACTATTTTTTTCAAAGTGTTTTTAATTTGCAAAATTTTCCCAAAAAACAATATAAATCAACAAACCTTAACATCATCATCAATAGTTGATGGTGGATCTTCTAATGGAAAATATTCCATACGTCTTGACATTGGATCATAAATATACCAAATAACTAAAATTATTAAATCCAACGTACAGAATACGGTTATAATCAGATAGCTTTGATTATTGTTAATCTGTTTATGTTAAAATAGATTAGATCCGAACAAAGCAAGATAAAATCAAACAAACACAAACCTTTCGTTTATTCTGTGTATGCAATACATGACATGTCCATATTTTTGCAAACATTGCACCGAAAAATAATGAAAATCCAATGGATAGAAAGAATGCTCTCGACTAATAAGAAATATTGAAAAAAAAATCATCAAACAGTCCATAAACAAACAAACAAACAAACATACATTACAAACAACTTCAAAATAATCAATACCAATATCTTGGCCATCTAAACCGAATAATTGTACCGAAATTAAACAAAATATACAACCAACTAACATTATATTATTCGATGATGGACTTGACATTTGAATAAATCTATAAAGTAAATTAGAATGGAATTTAGATTAGTTTTGTAATTAAAAAAAAAATTAACCAATTTGTAACATCCAATATCCATTTAAAAAAACATACCTATTATTACTATATTTATAATTAAAACAAAGTAATGAAATAGCAAATAAAATACCAATAATAGCAACAGCACTTATCGATACAAATAATGTACGATTTACAGTCATTAATGTTGGTACAATTTCTGTACGATCTTTTGGTACACGACCATTTATATACCATTGTTCACGATCTAACCATGTTAGATTATCGGTTGCTGTATCATAAAAACCTAATGTTTGATATGTACCATTGATCATTTGTTCGATTAATGTCCATGAAATACGATCACCAATATCGTTGAATGCAACATCGCCTGTTTTTTGATTTTTCAAAAAAAAAAAAATGTAATTTCAACAAAAACGAAAAGCAAAAGAAATGAAAAATTCACCTGAAACACCTAAAAATTGTACACGTTGTAATTCTGATTTAATAATATCAGTTATTTCTTTTTTTTCATAATCAAAATCATCCAATGACATTCCTAATTCATTCAATCTGGCTATTGAACGATTTAATGCAAATGCAACAGCCCATATTGCATCATATGCTAATGGTGCTTCTTGAAAACCTTCTTGTGGTTTTTCACCATGTGGAAACCATTCTTTATATTTTGGTAATTGTTTTTGATATTCATGTAGCCAATCTTTGGCTGTCATTCCTGAATTTTTGATTATTTAAACAAACAAAAAAAAATGATAAGATTTAGATTTGAATTAAGTGAATAATTTTCAAATAAAAATACCAGCAATTGTAATCTCTGGTCCTTGATTTAACATTAATGCTTCAGTTGTAAAATGTTTTTCAACAACAGCCAACATTTCATCCATTGTACAATTAATACCGGATGATGGATGAAACCAATTATCTTCATACCAACCGATTAAAAACCAAACATGTTGTTTACCATAAAGACCATTTTTATATGCTTCACACATCATTTTTCTTGCTGCACCACCATATGCCATTGCGACAATAATTCTTGCATCTTGTCGAGCTAAACTTTTAACCGCTTCGGTTGGATCATCAAGAAACGATACTCTTGTTACTATTTCAATATCAGCTTCTTTACATTTAATCTCTAAATCTTTTCCGGTCTTTAACGGGGAAATTAATTAAATTAATTTAATTAAAAAATCAAAAATCAAAAATCAATTAGGGATTTTTTAATAAAATCCACTTACAGTTACAAATACTTCTTCCGCTTCAATTATTATAGCTATTCTTGTCCATTTAAATTTTTTAAATAATTTTACTCTTGTTGGATTATGTATTGTTGCTGATGGATGTGTACGAAAAAATGTTGGAAAACGTTTTCGATCAGACAAAGCTGGTGAACTTGAACCATAACCAATAACAATTAGATTATACATTTTTGCCGTTTCGGCTATTGTTGAACAAACAATCGAACAACCACCTAATATTAATGTTTTATTTGGTGGTGTATAGATTAGATCATATAGAACGGCTGAACTTAAACCTGGATCACACTGGATAATGATGGTGGTGGTGGTGGTGGTGGTGAAAAAATCAAATCAAATCAATCAATCAATCAAATGTATATTGAAGAAACCCAAAAACCATCATTTACCTGACTATTATTCCATGTGATATTTAAATAATAACCGGATAATAAATTTTCATTATTATTAACATCTTCTAATGCCATCATTGCTGCCGGTAGACAACCTTGTCCACCAATCCAACCAGTCGTACCATTCATTGGAAATAGACCACCAATTTCAATATATTTTAATTTACTTTTATCCAATTGTTTACGTTTTGTTGTTGTTGTTGATGAATATTGTGATACTGGTGATGATGATCGTGGCGATATTGAATTATCATCATAATGATGATGATTATAACGATCAATAAATGATCGATAATTATTATCATTATAATGAATTGAATTACAAAATTCTATAATTACAATTACAATTATAATGAATAACGATAATAATAATGATGATGATTTATAATAAAAAGATTTTAAAATTATATTCAAATTCATGATTCTAATTTGTTGTTGTTGTTGTTTTAAAGGAAATTATCACGGTTCCAATAGAAAAAAACAACAACAACAAACGCTGGAGAGAGGGAGAAAAGTTCATTCAAGAATTTTATGCCCGACCAAAAAAGAATTCGACCCGAACCAAGAATTTTTTTTTTTTTTTTTTTGGTACATTCGTTTTACGCATGTTTCATTTTGGATCTTCTTTTTTTTCTTGGGAACGAACGAAATGAGCAAATGAGAAAATCAAAAAACAAGATTTGCGAATTCAATTTCAATCGGTTTTTTGTAAAATTTCATTTCCTTAATAAAATTTGCCTTGTTTTTTTTTTACAAATTGAAACGATTGCCTGGTGAATCTGTTTTCGAAACCCAAAAAAAAAAAATACAAGTTCCAAAACATGCAAATTCAAATTCCGGGAATATTATTTGACCTTAAAGACTTTCTTTTTTTAATTAGAAAAAATTTTTTGATGATTCGGCCATACATACTGCATTTGGATAATGAGAAAATGAAGAAGATGCCATTTTGTTTACCTTTTCGTTTCTTTTTTAAGCAGTGGTTTTCATTATTATTATTATTATTGCTGTCTGTGTGTGTGATGATGATGATGTTTCTCTGTCCGCTACAACTGTTGTCATTTTCTTTGTGAACCAAAATTGATTCGTTTCACAATTATCGATCGTCTTTTTTTTCTGATTCGTTCGGAAAAAAAACACATTCGATATTCGATGATTGCGCAAGCGTTTATTTTGGTTGTTTATATTTTCATTTTTTTGCTTCAATTTTTTTTTCTAATTGGGCGCCATTCATCTCCGTGTGTGTACATCCCCGTATTGAAAATCCACAAGGAAATCCATTTCGAAATTGATCTTTTTTTTTGTGATTTGCCACTACCATTACTGATAGTGGTAAAGATCCAAAAAACAGATTGACGGTTGCAGGCAATTTTTTTTTGTTTTGTTTATCCGGAATATAAAAAAAAAATCTTTTACCTTTATCATTTTTAAAAAACAACAACAAGTATTAAATATATAGCAGTGAACCAACCGACCAACCACCCACGCAAAAATGTTTCAATTGGAACAATTGCTATATACAGGTAATAAAGAGATCAACAACGAAAAAAAACACCAAAAACAAACATCGGACAACAAATGAATAAACGGACGAAAAATTGTCATCAAAAACCATGATCAAAGAAGAATCTTTTTAAAAAATGATGATGATGAGGATGCCTCAAAGATATTTTTTATTTTGCTATATACAAATTCTCTCTCTCTCTCCTCAAATTACGATGTGAGAAAGTAAACAAAAATGAAAATGAAAATGAAAAAATCCCAATCTTTTTTTTGCAAAAAGACAGACTTAGAGGAAGTGGCAACAATTTTTTTCTTTTTCGTTCCATTTGTATATTCACTGCATATTGATCATAATGCTACTTCCTTTTTGATATTGGATCCACTCACACACACACACACGCCCATACTCCCTCCTTTTTTTTGTGTCCTGCAATCATCAAATATTTTTTTTTTTTTTGGTTTTAGATGCAGCAAATGCTGTTGTTTGGCGCCATGATCATCAATATCAATTATTTTCTTTGCTTCTAAATGAACATCATTTTTTTCTATATATAAACGGCAGACATTGTTATCGTACCAGAAACAACAACAACAAAATATTGTTAAAGAAGATAAGCGAGCAAAATGATAATTAAAAAAAAAAATCCAATTTGAACCAAAACAAAAAAAAAGGAAGTGGTAAAAGTGAAAGCAACGCAGAGGATGAGGAAGATACAGTGAAAAAAAACGACGACGATGATGATTGGTAGGGGGATATCCACTTTTCCAGATATTTTCAATGCAACATTTGGTAAACATCCCATCATCATCATCATTCGACAATTCTCATTTCAACGATAATGACAAATAGTTGGTGCGGTTAGTATATATGTGTGTCTTGAAGAATCGAGTTTTGGCTGATATTCTTTCTTTCTATTCATTCGGCAATTCAATGTATATGTTGTATGTGGTTTGTTTGTTTGTTTTCGTTCGTTCGTTCGTTCATTTCGAGAATATGCGCGTTATTGAATTTTGATGCCGAATATTGTGTATGTTTGTTTTGTGCAAATAACCAAACCAAACCAGAAAAGACGAAGTTGAAGATTTTCTTTTGCCGTATGTTTTCTGGCCTGTATATGTTGTGTGTGTGATTCCAAACAAGAAACGAAAACGAAAACAACCATCAACATCGACATCATCATCCTGTGACTGCAACAATTTTTTTTTTTTTTTTTTGTTAATAATATTCGTTTCACTCTCTAACCTAATATTTTTTTTTTTTTTTTGCTTTCTTCAATCGTCGCAACCAGTGCCCAGTATTATTTTTTTTGTTTTTGTTTTTGTTT